TTTGGGTGTGTGGCATGTGCAAACAAGGTAAGTTGGAACCAAGGGCAAGGAAGTGCATTTTTCTAGGGTACCAAGATGGTGTAAAGGGCTTCAGACTTTGGAATGCTGGAACAGAAGAGCCCAAGATTATCAGCAGGGTGTAACTTTTAATGAGACTCAATTTTATAGACTTGAGGCTGCAGTCAGATAGAGGAATTAAGTAGACATCTGATGAGGGAATAAAATTTAAGGTGGAGCCTTTGGAGCAAGCTGGCATAACTCAAGCTAAGACAAGTTTAAATGGAGATCAACCATCAGTAGGAGGATCAGATCAGCCATCAGTAGGAGGATCAGATCAGCATGAGTATTGCTTAGCCAGAGATAGACAGAGGAGGGACATAAGACCGCCTAGCAAGTACGGGTATGTAGACCTCACTGCCATTGCATTGAATGTAGCAGAAGAAATCAATGAACCTGTTAGCTATGAACAAGCTATTAACAGTCCAAAAAAAGAACGATGAAAGCAGGCAATGAAAGAGGAAATGGATTATGTGGGAAACGCAATCTATTGATTTTGTAAATAGGATATATTAAGAAAGTTTGAAATTTATATTTTGTATCCTTAGGATTAAGGTAATCAGTTAGTTTCTTGATATCCCATGAATAATGGGATAAGGTGTAATCTAGGAGATTCTACTTTTATATATAAAACCCTAAGAGGGCCGGCAGTATAAAATTAATTTCAGAGAATAAGAAATATTTTTTCTTCTCCTATTTTTCCACATGGTATCAGAACCTTAAGGCTTGAATCTCTGGGATTAATATTTAGCCTTCATCGCCGGAATTGGTCTCTTGTTCGACCTTCATCACCGGAATTGTTTCCTTGTTCGACCTTCATCACCGGAGTCATTAGATAGCTGTCTCAAGGGAAGGTTGCTATCAATTATCACGGTTGCCGCCAGAAATTGTTCCAATCAAATCGACCTCCATCGCTGGTGGAGTCTGCAGTGTAGGACTAGCCTTAATTGCCTTCAAAACTGCTTTGGAAGATGTCGGAGGTGGTAGAAACAACCGCTGCAACGTCGCTGGATGAGACAGAAAATGGACGGTCTCAATAGGTTGGAGAACTGCAGAATATGTATGCTGCCTATAGACTGAATGGGCCTGTCCTCTTGCATCAACATTGCTCCCAACACACTGCCCGAAGCTTCAGTCTCAACAACGAACTGCTTCGAGAAGTCTGGCATGGCCAGAACCGAAATTCGAGTCATGGCCAACTTGAGCTCGTCAAATGCTCGGCCTGCTTCCTCCGTCCTGACAAATCCCTTCTTCTTGAGCCGCTGCGTTAGTGGCCGTGTGATCATCCCATAGCCCTTGACAAACCGCCTGTAGTAACCGGTGAGCCCCAAAAATCCTCGCACCTCCCAGGCGTTGCTCAAAGGGGGCCAAGAGGTAATTACCTAAATCTTGGAAGGGTCGGCAGCCACTCCACGAGCTGAAACGATGTGGCCCAGGTATTCTAATTGGGGCTGGCCGAAACAACATTTCCTTTTATTGGCAAATAACCGTTCGCACTACAAAACTTGGAGGACCACGGAGAGGTGTTGGCGGTGCTCCTCCCATGAGCAGCTGTACACCAAAATGTCGTCGAAGAACACAAGAACAAACTTCCGAAGATATTGACGGAAGATTCTATTCATGAAGGCTTGGAAAGTGGCCGGGCTGTTCGTCAAGCCGAAGGGTATGACGAAAAACTCATAATGGCCCTCATGCGTTCAAAAAGCCGTCTTCTCAATGTCGGCCTCATGCACCCTGATTTGGTGGTACCCTGTTCGCAAGTCCAATTTTGAAAACACTACCGCCCCATTGAGTTCATCGAGCAATTCGTCGATCATTGGAATCGGAAACTTGTCAGGGATCGTGACTTGGTTCAGCGAGCGATAGTCTACACAGAAACACCAGCTTCCGTCTTTCTTTTTGACTAAGAGGACCGAGCTGGAGTAAGGGTTGCTACTGGGCCATATGATACCGGAAGCCAACATGTCTATCACCAACCATTCTATCTCTCCCTTCTGATTTTGCGGGAAAATCGGTAAGGCCGAACATTGGGCGGATCGGTGCCCTCCCTCAGAAAGATCCTGTGGTCCCGTCCCCGGTGTGGTGGCAGCCCCGTGGGATTATCAAACACCTCCTCGAATCTGTCCACCACCATCTGCACCTCCTCCGGTACCGCTCTGTGCTCCTTTTCCGGCTGCTGCATCGAGAGTTCACATACTTCAACCAACACCCCTGCTCCGGCCGGAGACAGTGCCCTGACTAAGGAACTCATCTTGACCAGTGCATAACACAAACTTGGGTCACCACGCCAAACCACCCAAGTTGGCCCTGCTCGGAATTTCATTAGGAACTTACACCAATCCGCCAGTACCTCTCCAAGGGTGCTGAGCCACGACACCCCTAAGACCAAATCAACCCCGCCCAATTCGAAGGAAAAGAAATCCTCCACCACCAAGTGACCTTGGATCCAGACACTAACTTCCCGACAAATTCTCGATTGCTTGACGCTCAACCCATTGCCTACCAAAATATTGTGACTTACCGTGGAGTCCATTGGCAAGTGCAGCTCGCGTACCACTGTTTTCAAGATGAAGCTGTGGGTGCTGCCGCTGTCCACTAGCACCACGACCTCCCGGCCACCGATTCGTCCCCGAAGCTTCATAGTGTTGGAGGAGGACACCCCCCGCATCGAGTTTAAAGACAAATCCACCTTTGCGTTCGAGATCTCCTTTCCTTTGTCCTCCACCGCCAACGGCTCCTGGCCATCCTCACTGTCCTCCCCCGATTCGTCACCTTCATCTGCCAGAATGAGAACCCGTAACTGCCGATTCTTGCATCGGTGTCCCGGGCCAAACTTCTCGTCGCATTTGAAGTAGAGCCCTCGGGCCCTCCGTTGCTGGATCTCCTCCTTAGTGAGCCGCCGGTACGCCGCCGCCTCGCCAGAAGGGGGATTCGACCCTATTCCACTACCCAACCGAGCTCCATGCCCTAGCACCGCCCTATGTTGAGGTTTGGATCGAAGGGGGCCCTCGGGTGAGTAGGAACCCGTGTTGCGGCCTTCAGAGGATCCCCCAAGCGCCCCAAATACTCGGATCTAGGCCCACGGCCCATTCTATTCCTTCAAACCCGATCCGCTGCCTCATTGCGAGCCTCCACCTACTGGGCCAGATCCATCATCTCATGATTGGGCCGGTGCATCTTCAGTTCAGCCCGAATATCCTCCCTGAGCCCATGAAGGAAAGCCCCTTTGAATATGGCTTCAGGGACTCCCTGCATCTGCGCCGCCGTTGATTCAAACTCATCCCAATATTCTGCCACCGACGTCCACTGCCTGAGAGCCATCAGTTGCTCCACCGGGTCGACTTCCCTGGCACGACCGAAACGACGCAGCACAGTCGCGCGAAGTTCACGCCAAGATCTGAACGGTTCTTGCACGTCTGCCCATTGGAACCATCCCAAAGCTCTCCCCTCCATGCGTACCAAAGCCACCACCACCCTCTCTTCCTCCTCCACGTCATTCACAGCAAAGTACCAGTCGACCCTAAACACCTATCCTTGGGGGTCTTCTCCCTGGAATATTGGCATCTCTAGCCTCCTTCCCCAGTGTTCAGCCCATCCTCGGCAGCGGTGGTGTCTCCTGCATGTATTCCCGCTCGTATCGCCGGGGTGCTCGGAGGCGGAGGCGGCGACACTGGCCGAATGTTCGGGCCCAGCCGACGAAGGTCGGGGAATCGCTGCTGACCCGCGTCAAACCGTGGTGGAGGGTGTGGGTTTCGCTGGAGAAGGTCCGCTTGCCGGAGCAAAAGATTCTCCAGCTGTCGTACCGATCCCGATCCCTGTACCTCTCCCATATGGATGCCAATCTCAGCCATCTCTTCTTGGAGTTTAGGGAGAGGCTCTGTCAAAGCTTCCACAATCTGCAGCGCCTCATAAAACATATCCATTCGCTGTTCGAGCCGAGACATCTCCTCCTCCGGTGGTCGTTCGCCGAAAGCGTCCGCCATGGATCAACCGCTATGATACCAAATTGTTAGGTCCCTGCACACTCAGATAATTCCCACAGTAGAGAGAAATTGCTTGAAAATGGGTCAAGTTCTTTTTATTAATTCTCACTAACGAGTTCCCTGAGAGAAGGATTCCTTTCTCAGGGAAGATACAGAAGGAAATAGAAAAGGAAAAGTAGTACAAGTGGGAAATTTGAGGTTCCCCTGCCTCCAATGGTCTGCTAACAGAAATGACTCAATTCACAGACAACTCTCTCACCCCTCCTCTAGTGTCTAAATACCCCCAAGCTAACAACTCGTAAGTAACTTGACACATCAGCACCCATTTCCCATATTTCCACTTCCCTCCCCTGTTTCCTGCGATTTCCCCCTACGGCCCCTCTTCCTAGCATAGACCAACGTAATAGGAGGCCTAACAGAAAGACTTGGCAGAGAGATTTCTAGTGAGAGAATTAGAAAGAAGCAAGTTTGTAATTCTTGAAGCAAGTCAGAAATAAAGTACTCAATTTTCTTCTTCATTCTTGTGTGAGTTCTTATGAGTTTGGTTTATGGTTCTTGGTTACAACTGTAACAAATTACAATAAGGAAGAATGGCTTAGATATAACATCTGCAGAGTTGGTGTACTTAAAAATAAGAAAATCTTCGCACCAGTTAGAAAATCTCACCAATCCATGCCATACATTAAATGAAATGATATCTAACGGTGACCCGAAGTTGATGACAGATGACATGCATTGTCTTACCGTTTTGCTGTAGAAACTCAAATTCTTTCTTTGATAGAGAAGCAAAGATACATTGCCCACACAAATTAGGTATGTCTCCAAGTTGAATTTGGTAGGCAATGAGAAGTATATACTAATTTGTTTCAAATTATGCAGAATAATCGGTGCCCAACACAATGGTTTCACTACATGGTTTCAATTAACTTATTTATGAAAGTTTCTGAAGTGTGCACTCACCTGATGGGTGCGCCCAGTTTCTAATCTCCACTCAACCAATGCAGAACCACCAGCAGCAAGTATTTCAATTACTTTATACCTGCAATGATTCAAACAACTCTAGCATGTATCAGAGCCCAAAAAGACTTGACTTCCAAAGTTCCAATTTACATGGAGCCTAGGAACTCAACAATGGATTGTATACAAGTAAGAACATCATATGAAATTCCCACGACAATTATCATTGGACTACCTGTCATGTGTGAAAAATTTATATATAGCACAGAAACGAAAGTGACACTCATACAAACATAAATAAATATACCAATATAATCATTGAGTAAACTGCATTTCCCCTTAATCAGCGTAGACAAGCGTGATCTAATTTTGAGATTGCAACTAGATTCAAAGATCACACAGCGAATACCATTAATAACAATGGAATAGTTTTAGATCACACTGATACAGGAACAAAAGGTTTTCTTCCAATAGCAATGTGGTAAGAATCCTAAGGACTGAAACACCTAAAATCATTTCATTAAGAGTGTTTTGAGGTCAATTTATGGAACACAAGCTGATTAGTTTCATGGCAAGCCTAATTACTTTTTAATCAGACTCAAGCCATAAAACAAATTCAGCCATATTACATATGAAACTACAGAGAAACACAATAATCAGTTAGAATTGTCCATTAATAGTTAAATTCAAGGACCAAGATAAACCTCATAATCCATAGCATGATCATTGGTAGAATGAAGGACCATAAATCACCTACTAGCAGCATGTCGAGCTCGTTTACTATTAGTTGCTCCTGGTATAGCAGCCATACGAATCCGATTATTTGGATCACGACCGATTGGAACCTCAATATGTCCAGAAAGTTGGGAGGGCACACCTGAAGTAAGACTAACATATACTCTATGTATAGTGTGCAACTTGAATTGTTCAGATAAATGCGCATGAGAATGTTCATCCTGTCATCAAAGCATGAAAAATTAGAACTGCCAGAACTTTACGTCAGTCTCACTATGAAATGGTAAACATTGACATTAGTTGTTCGCTACCTTTGCAACAACAAGCAACCCACTAGTGCCTTTGTCTAATCTGTGCACAATTCCAGGACGCACTGATGCTCCAGAAATGCTAGCATCCATAGACATTCCCCTGAATTCATCATCACAAGTATCCTCATCATCAGAAAGACTTTCCTGGTGTGAAAATGCAATTGTAGGAAGACTACAATGATGAAGAATGCCATTCACAAGTGTGCCTTTAGCATTGCCTGGTGCTGGATGGACAACCTAAACCAAAGGAAAGAAAGTGACTTAATATGTCAAAATTTCTATCCACATTGACATCTATAAGGATTTATGAAACCAGGAGTCGATCAATTTCTCGATCTGGTTATTAAAGGATGGCACTTGGAATTGCTAGATTTATTTATGAAACTTTAAATCACTAAATTATTTATTTTCGACTGTTTTGCTTGCGTTTTTCTTTTAAGGATGGGAGCCTAGAAAGACAATTGCAGCCATAGTGAGGCAAGAGTAACACAGGTAGAGAAACCGTGCTTTAAGATTTTGCTTTACACATTTGTTTTCCTCCATTTCCTTTCAGCAAATTCAGCATTGCATCAACACCTTTGAAAAATACTTTAATACAAAATCCAATGGAGCAGGTAATCAAGCACAAAACCTTGTGTTTTTACTTTTTAGCCTCGATGTGAATCTAAAGTCTTAACCGTGAGGATAGTCAGCAATTCCCTCCAACATTTATAAATACAATGACCTGAAGATAAATGTTTGACATGAATCTCCGTAAGGTTTCTCAAAATTTTTATTCCTCCAAAAAATAAGAACAAACAGTCTTTAGTCGATCTTAAACAAGGACCTAAACCTTGACCGCAAGGTTTATCAGCAATTTTTTTTTTTTTTCACTCCAGAGTCCAAACAAGCAGTCCTATGGTCAGATCTTACTGTCCACAACATATAAACTTCAATTCGGAGAAAATTCCTTTTTCCGATCCTAAATATAGTTTGCCGAGAGCTTGAAACGCAGCTCGTTAGAAGAGTGAAGGCCATACCATGTGTGGAGGTTTGTTGACAACCAGTACGCTATCGTCTTCATGCACAATTTCTAAAGGAATATCCTCAGCTTCAGCCTTCAACGGTTGCAACTCAGAGATTGTGCAATCGATTTTGTCGCCAGTTTTCACATTCTGCGAAACCTGCAATATTCAAGCAATCGAGTAAAACCTTGAAGAAATAGACAATCATAAACGAATCTGAGGAAATAACGGAACTACCTTATCGACGACCTGGCCGTTAACCCGAACGAGGCCCAATCGGATGCTAGACTGCACGCGAGCCCTGCTGATTCCGCTAACGCGAGAAGAGATCCAAGAATCGAGCCTGACCTTGCCGGAATCGACCGCGACCGTCGCCTCCAATCGCACGCCGGCGAAATTAGGCCTGACGCCGGCGAGAACCTCTTCGTTTCGGTCGGAAATTGAGGCGCCAGTGAAACTAGAACCGGCTCTAAAGGAAATCGGAATCCGAGGAGGAGATTGAAAGGAAAAGGAAGACGATGCAGAGATTCTAGGGTTTGGAGGAAGGAAGAAAAGGAAGAGAGAAGGAGAGGAGAGAAAAGCTTTTGTGGAGGAAGATAAGCCAGACAGGGAGAGCATTTTATACCCTGCGTTTTACTTTCAGAAGGCTTGTATATTGTGATTGTAAAAGAAAAAGGGAGGGAAGGTAACGGCGTATCCTTTTATATGGGATTCATGTGTATTTTACTATTTTTCGTGTTTGTTTTACTTTTCTTTTTATTTTATTTTATTATTTTAACGGTTGTCGATATAACATATTGGCCTAATTTAGTAGTGTTGTAGATTTTAAAAAAATTACTTTTAGTTGTGTTGAAAGAAGAAACAGTTTTTATAAAAGCAGTTGAATGTTTAGTAAATTATAATTATAGTAGTTGTGTTGATTTTAAAATCAACGTCATAACGTTTGATAAATTATGAGGTTAAATTGTTGTGGATAGTTAAAAATTACAACTATATTATATTATACTATAATATAATATATAATTACAATATAATATATATTTATTATTATATTTAATATAATAAAAACAATATTATTATATAATATATTATATATTATGATATAGAATATAATAATATTATTAAAATAATAACTGAAATAATTAAAAA